GTCAGATGAGGAGGACCTGTTCCTTCCGGGTTTCTTCCGCGCGCGATCGCTCGGCCTCTCTTCTCTTTCTCTCTCTCTCTCTCTCTCTCGATTCTATCCGATTGTTTCGCCGTCGCTGTGGTTTCGCTTGTCACGCTTTAACACTTGCTTACACCTGTCGGCCTCTCAGCGGACTTCAGCTACCGCTCTTAAAATCAAGTTTTCATCTAAAAAAACTATTGAAGCGATATGTCCGTTACTAACTAATTGTGTTCTTTCCTATTTCTTCTTTCGATATTTAATTTGTGACTAAAATTCCTTATGGTCAATTTCTAATTGTTTCAAAGCTATATATGAGTGACTCGTAATTTTTGTTGAAAAGTAATCAATTCGCCCAAACAGAATATGCGACGAAAAATATCCCAAAACGCTCAATTTGAAATAAAATTTATATAAATAAATAGAATAACTAGAATAAATATAAATTAAATAAATAAAGTGGAATTTGGAACCAACTTGAGCGAATGTGCGCATAACAACTGGTCAAGCAGCTTAAAATCGCTTATATCTAAAATCACTTTTCAAGTTGGCGAATAGAGATTGTCTCCTATTATACAACGTAACCGTCCAAAGTGGCCGGTCGAAAGCGAAAGGGACTAGACATTTCTTTTTTTTTCCATGACGCTCGCCAAAGGAAAGAGAACCGAGGAAACGCACGCATGACGAGGCACGGGACTAGTTCTCGCACGGCGGTAAGCAAAAATCGAACGAACGCGTTTTATTTTCGATATATATGTATAGCACATCGCGGCAAACAGAAAACGGGTCCGCACCTACGAAAGACGCCGTCCTTGCACGCTCACTTGCAGTACATTTCCATGCGAAACGCGTAACTGCATGCCAGTAATCGAGAGATAGATAGATAAGAAACCGTATTACACGGTAGACGAAAATTCTCGAAGCTAAATGACGAAATTCACATGCAAAACGGATCAGTTGAACGGATATTTTGGATAGATTTCTTCGCGGATTATTACGTCCGGAAGGAAGTACGTTCGAGGACGAATATCAGTAGTCGGTCCCTCTTTTCAAATTGTAACCGTCCAATATCACTCCAATATTATTTAATATCTATATATTTACAACGCCGAGTCAACAAAGCATCGAATTTGCCGTCTCATTTACATAATTCTCCAAAAATTTAATTTTATTGATTTCATAATTATACATTTTATTATTTTATATATGTATATATATTTTATATTGTATATATACTTAGGTATATTATTTTCTTCTTTTATCTTTTATATAGACAAATAACTACCTCAAATAAATAATAAAAATAATTAATAAATTAATATAATAATGTTCTTCTGTTAATAAAACATACAGCCTGCGTTTATTTATTCCCATTGGAAACTATTATATAAAATATATGTATAATACACATAGCGTATTATAGATTTTATTTTTTCAATAGCTCCCAATATGAAAAATTGAACGCAGGCACATATGACTTCTCTAAGTTACGATAACAATAATCGTGAAGCTAATAAAATTCATATAAAATAAAAATAGGCCTCGGATCATCTTTCTTGATTTGCTGAGGAAAGTATTTATCGAAAGGCCGACCACGACAACAAAATGCAGCGATACGCACAGAATCAATTGGTTTAGGAATCTCGCGACTTCTTATTCTCTTCTACCTACAGCGTAGAATAATAATGCGACTCTTACGTGGAAATGAGGTTGAAGAAAGGAGAGTGTGCAAGTTGAACATGGAGAAAAGCAATATGTGGAACTTCTTTCGCGGTGTATTTATCTTTCCGAACCTAATTAAACGAATTATTGTCTGAAGCTTATCGAAAGCCAGTCTTTCAAAATATCTGTAGCTTTTATATATTAATTTTGTGATGCAATTTTAAAAAATATCGGTGTGTAAAAAGCAATTTTTATCTTATGACTATATTCATCAAAAAGGTATATTAAAAATACTATTTTATAGCGATTTACGGCGTAGAACAATTTCATAAAAATATAAAATATTTGAACTTTAACATTATATAAACACTTGGGACATGTATAAACACTTATGACGTTACCAGACTAACAACAAACTTGAACGTTTACTTACTAGAATTTATTTAAGGCATTTTATGCATCTATAATGCATAAAAACCGGTAAGAAAAAGGGTGTGATAGAGGGGGAAGAGGAGAAGGCATATAAAATTGTGAAGGAATGTAAACTCATTGACATTTTTGTACATAGACTTGTGCGTTGCTGTATCAGGTTTGTTTAGCGCGAAAAGTCATACACGAGATATTAAATTCTACTCTTTCTCGAAATGTTGTTAATAAAGACATCATATTTTTTTCTCTATTTAATTTTATTATAAAGATAATAAGTCAAACATTATTATATTGTTGTAACTTAAATAAACTTAAAATAAAAAGGAGATTTTGAAATAAAAGTATTTGATTGAAAATCATAAAAATTATTTAAAATTATACTTAGCAATATTTGAACAGCTATATCATGCAATAAAAGCTATATCATACCACTTGAAGATGTATGTCACTTATGTCAAAATAAAAGGATAAAGCTGAAATTTACAAAGATTGTGCATTTATATATCCCAAAAACCTGTGTTAAATTTGCGATCGATTTTCCGACCCGTTTCTGAGATATTTGGTTTAAAAGTTACAGAAATTGGATATAATATACTTCCCATGTAAATATCATAATATGTATCTCTGCTCATGTACAGTAAAAATGAATGAAATTTTTATGGTACACTTCTATGACATCGAGAATTGCAATTACGGTTTTTTAAAATTTGCTGGTTATATTTTTTTTCAATTTTTTAATGATTTATTTAAACAATGTCAAGTACAAAAATGGGACAAAATTGCGATTTTTACGCTTTTTCTGAAGGAGGTTGAAGCGATCCAGTTGAGTCAATTGACGGTTTAGAAAAAAGTTTTTTATTAGGTCATTAAAAAATCTGTATTAGGTATCATTTTATTCTCCATACGCTGCTATTGCATAAAACGTATAGTAAAAGTATCATATTATGCATCTTTATATTTTAATTAGCTAAAAACGAAACACTTTTTTGCCAATGCCAACTTGAAAACTTGTAGTATTGCTAATTATTTCAATATAAAAATGGCATGAATATATGTTTTGCCGTTGATAGAATGAAATAATGATTCTTACTGGTAGCTCCCTTGACAATTATATAAGCTATCGATTTTTTAATAACTTTCCGTCGATTATATTAAATACGATTGAAACTTGGCAACGTTTCACTTTTATGGGGTTGGTAGCAGTACTCGTCTCTGTGTTGAACCACGTGGAGCCACGTAACGGCAGTTGCTAAACGTAAACATGCCGGTGAATTTTCTGTTAATTCTGGGGCTGCGTTCGGGAAGCGTGCTATTAGCGCTATTGCATCATTCTATCTTTATCGCTCATCAGGTGTAAAACAAGGATAAAATAAGCAAATAGCACTAATAGCGTCTTCCCGAACGCACCTTGGATAAGGTTAGGTGCCCGCGTTTTGGCTATACCCAAATCCTGTCGGTATGTGCACGTTTTTGGTTCTCTTCCGTGCTGTGTCTACTATTTTGTGGTAATGTCAACGATTTTAGGGTTCTCTTTTATGTTATGTTCACAATTTTTTGGTTTTCTTCCGTTAGATTCATGATTTTTTGGTTTTATTTCCAAAGAGAATAAAAAAATCGTGGACATAGCACGGAAGAGAACCACAAAAATGTGCACATACCGACAGGATTCGGGTACAGCCGAAACGCGGGCGACGCTGCGTTGCCACATCTACCTACTCGCGAACTATCAACTGCTATTTCAGTCTAATTTCGATCGCTTTAACTTGTAATATATTTGTTATTAGATGGTGAATACGTGTTTTCTTGCGTTCTAAATGTTCGCATTAATTTACTGTACGCGTAGGCACGTTTTTTGAGCGTTTATATAGACTAGATATTAAAGAAAATTGGGATCAATCATCGCCGTCAACGCTTTCTCCATCTAACCCCATGTAAAACGACGCATTTTTGGAAATTAATATCTCAGCTTCTGGATGGTCAATAAATCTGAAATAATTCTCACACATGCGGTAGATCCTATACTATCATATATATTTTTTACAAACTAAAATCTAGAGTTGACCAAACTGCTTCAACCTCCTCGACCATTCTTCCCACGAGTTGTTCATACTATTTTTCCTAACAAGAGCGTGAAACAGGCCGCTTTTCGTGCTTGTTTTACAATTTCATTTCTCACTAGTTGAGAAATGGTTCCATTTTTCAACTAGTGGAGAAATGGATCGTTTTGCTCACTCAAAACAAGCGCGAAAAGCGACCCATTTCACGCTCGCGTTAGGAAAACATAATTATAATACTACATATATAGCTATCTGACATACATCTTTAATCGTCGAGTTCTTTATCTTAAATTGTCTAGAAACTGAAATGTTTTAAAAACACAGTGATTTTTCAGAAATAGAACAAAGTAAAGAATTCGATATGACTCGTGAAGTATAAGTGGATATCAGCGAGGACAGCGAGAAGATTGTACATTTTATGTGACGGCTCTAGTGTTAAAGATTAATAATTGTAAGTAATTTTCTCATTAAAGATAAATTTGATATTATTATATATACAAATTTTTGTTGCTAAATTGAACGGATCTTCCGTTCGTAAATTCAGTTCAACCGCTTTCTTTCTGCTTTACCATATACTGTTAATTATACTTCCCTCAAATTTAATTTTTTACCATTCATCGTTAACTACAATTTTGTTAATTAAACTTTACATCGTACGCGCGTTTATTATGCATTTTGATATAAAGATAAAAAATATAATTCTGTTGTCTTTAATCTAATTTTTTTTTGTTGCATATGTTAATTTTCGTCCGTTGCATTTGATTCTTACGATCGCCAGGTGACGTTATTATCGCTCAGGAAAACAGTCTTTCTATATTTTTTTATTATTCTCAGATTGTTCTGCATGTGTGATTGTGGGTGTGTGTCAAAAACTTTATCAAAGTTCTGGACAATACTCCGCAATACTCCGCATCTCTCTCTCTCTCTCTTTCTGATCATTTCAGAGCAATTTGCGGAATTACGAGAAATGGCGGACCCCAAATACGCTGATTTACCCGGAATTGTAAGCTTCCTTTACATTCTTACACGTTTATTACATCGGTTTCGTGCGTCACATCACGAGTAAACACATTCTTATATACTACTTGTAACTGATGTCTCAGGCGTACGACCAGCTCGACGTTTACGAGACGAGCGATTTGCCAGAGTCGGAGCAAATGCGAATGTACTGCGAGGTAAGACACAAATCTACATTGTATACTATATAACATTCATCGTAATTGGCGACGGATTTATTCAGGATGAACCTGATACCTCTTGCGTGGAGAAACTGCATATCAGTGCCAAGGAAGCATTCAACAAGTTTAAAGGAAAGCAGATTCTTGGGAAGCCGGTCGATTTCTCAGATCGTCTATCTAGCAAGCCAAGAACGGGATACAAGTAAGCTGTTCTAATGTTTAATAATAATACATGGTATATGGAACGATATATGACACAAGTATTTCCAGATTCGGCGATGACGGCGATTGGGAACTTGTCGGCGAGGGCGAGAAAGAGACTCCTCTTCAGAAGTTCCAACGACTGCAATGTGAAGTTAAGGAGTTGTACGAAGAAGTGAATGAACTAAAGGTAAATTGCCATTGTCAATAAAATATGCTTAAAATTATTCTGTATGTTCATAGACATAATAACATAATAACACTGGTAATATGTGCAGGAAAAATCTAAGGACGAGGAAGAGATCAAATCCGCAAGCGAGATTATTTCTCAAGCACGGCAGATAGAGAAGCAGTTGGTTTCTCTGAAACTGGAAGAATGTCTAGGGCCTGACGTAGTTGCGAGTCTATCAGATCCACAAGGCACTATACTTAGGTATGTGAAAGTGAAAACCTACGATCTGTTATAAATATCCTTTTCCCCTCCGCAAAATTGTATTACAGAGTTACATTAATGTTACAGGCAATTGATATCGCAAATAGAGTTGTTTAAGCAAACCAGCGTCCCTCTGTCCAAGTCATCGGAGAGTAAAAAGACAGGCGAATCGGTCGAACCCGGTGTCCTTAAGTATCAGATGATGTATTTGCCAGAAAAGGCGAGGATGCAGGAAGCTGCTAGGATCGCGCAGCTCGAGCAAAGACTTTGCTGCCTGGAGAACATCATAGGAACAAGTAACGACAAGTTGTCGAAATTCTCGCAGGTAGGTAGATTCATTATAATTTCTCACGCATACACATTTCGAATAGATTTAGGTAATTTCCGTTTGTTTCCACAGAATCTCAAGTGTCAGGGCGTAATGGAAGCTGTGCAACAACTGGAAGCAAAGGCTGCGTTGTTGGATGTTAATCAATTGGACACCATCGAAACGAGATTAGGCACTTTGATTTACCGGATGGACAGCATCGCGCAAAAAAAAGCAACGACGGAGCAAGAATCGGAGCAGGAGCAGAAGGTAAAACATCAATCAAGTGTTAAATTGAAAGTGTCATCAACATTACAGTATGTTTTGCATAATAAATCTCTTTCTTTCCTACAGATCTCAGAAATGTATGAAATAATGAAGAAAACAGACGCTATATCACAAATACTACCGCAGACAGTAGAAAGATTATTGGCATTGAGTGACATTCATCAACAAGGTATAATTATTCAACAATAAATGTACTTGTCTTAAAAAATATATATATAAATATTCTAAAAGGATTGCATTGCATTTCAGCCGCTGCCTTCAGTAAATCTTTAATAAAATTAGAAGAACTGCAAGTAGAAATCTCGTCGGGATTAGAAAGTAACAAGTCTATGCTGAAGGGGGTGCAGGAAAGTTTTGCCTCCAATATGGAGGTTATAAAGGGCAACATAGCATTGCTCGACGAGCGTATCAAAAAGCTCAACAAGTCATTAAAATAGAGGTATTAAACATATTTAGCATACCTAGATTGATTTATGAAAATCGCTTTACTCAGAGCATTTATACTCGTATCATGTTAAAATTATTTATTTAATGTGGTTTATAAATTCTATATTGCTTTATATCCCACACGATTGTTTCATTATTCTTAAATATTCTGCTAGTAAGTATATTTGATTTCTATGATATAATTGTTGAAACAAGAGCCTACTAAACTCAATTTAGACATATAATGCACAACGCAAGAAATGCAACTTCATATAATAAAATAAAACTGGAACTTCAGTAAAAAAAACTTACAAGTTTTATTGAACACTTTATATATGATATGTGGATGTAGGAGAGTCAACGAGTGTTACGAGGTATAACCTAAGTACAAGTTAATTAAGCTAAAAGTCAAATAAAATAAATGATAATAAAAAAAATATGTATATAAAGGTTCAGTATATCTTTTACATAGGATAATGTGACGGAAAAAACTGTATTCACCTTTTTACATCTGTATATCAGACTTTTTATTTAGAAACAATTAGAATCTTAATTTCTGGAAAAACCACTTGTTTTTACCGTTTTTATACCTGGAAAAACGACGATCGAAATTAGATAACATTGATTGCGACGCATGGAAGTTGCAGTAACGGCAAAACGTTAAATTACGTACCTCTCCTCGAATTTGACGCGCGTCTGGAAGCGAACCTTTTTGCGCTTCATTGGGTCCTTAAGATCTTTAGGGGCCACTTTTTCCAACTGTAGGTCCACCGTGTATCTCGTTGGCATTAGGTGGTTATAATTTAGGATCTAAAACATTTTATAAATAAGTAAAGAGCTATATAAGAATGTTCTCAAAGAACTTGCTGAACCAATGCACACTAGTGTAGTAAGTTATAGCGAATTCGGGCGCTTGCACTAGTGCACACTGAGTGCGCACTAAGGCTTGTTCTTAATCAATTGTTATATTTACAGATCATCTCAAATACTTCTTAGTCTGTAAAATGATTTGTACAGCATCCATATATAGATATTACAATTGTTTTATTGGCTAAAAAGTTTTTAAATATGTATTTAAATGACTTTAAATATAAGAATAGATTATAAACAAGAGCACTCAGTGTGCACTAGTGCAAGCGCCCAAATTCGCTATTAGAGTAAGAGAAGAACATTTTGTTTCACTCTAATAGCAAATTCGGGCGCTTGTACTAGTGCACACTCAGTGCGCACTAAGGTTTGTTTATAATCTATTCTTATATTTAAAGTCGCTTTTAAATACACATTTAAAAACTTTTTAGCCAATAAAACAATCTGTAATATCTATATGGATGCTGTACAAATCATTTTATAGACTAAGAAATATTTAAGATGATCTGTAAATATAACAATTGATTAAGACCAAGCCTTAGTGTGCACTAGTGCAAGTGCCCGAATTCGCTATAACTTATTGCACCAATATGCACCAGTTGAAGTTCTCCAAAAAAAGAACAGGTGGACAATCAACGCGATAAAAAGGACAAAGATTCCATGGTGGAAACTTTCAAATCAAGTTAATTTAAATTTCCGAAGAGCAATTGGCAAAAACAAAGAAATAATCTTACCTTAACGAAAGGCTTGATTTTCGAGCGTTTATGCAGCTTTCCCTTGCCCATCCTTTTATGGACTTTACGTGGGTACCGGTCGATGCCCGCAACCATCGCATGCCCATACTGTTTTTCCGCTGTTCCTTCATCGTAATTGCGCATGACGATGGCTTTCCTCCCCGCGTACCGGCCACTAAGGACCAGCACGACTTTGCCTATTTTCATAATCTTCACCATCTTGGTGGAGTATGCTGGAAAAGAAATAAAGATATGTAAATAATTTTGGAAAAATAATTTAAAATATAAACTTATATTCTAGCGAGTTTTTCCATAGAATCGAAAACGTTGACTCTATTAATTTTCCGTCTGAAGCAAAACGTATCGAGATAAATCCTCGCTGGCGATGTAAACATTTCAGATACATCAAGCGTCACATAACCTCTTGTAACCGCATGAAAGACAAATTTGTACTCTAGAAAACAACAGAGAAAGAGCCGAAGGCGTCGCGCCGCGTGGCGCAACGTCGTGCGAAATAACGAAATCGCGAGAAATTGCCGACAACCGGGCAATCGGTCGTCGTGGAACGCGACGTGAAACCCGGCGCGGGGAGGTTAACCCCGCGATCGTCTGTCAGCAAGTATTCGCCGCGACCATGCGGAATCGAACATCGTCGTGCGAACGGGGATCGCGTTGCACGCCGATCGCAAACGCGACGCGAAACGCGGCGGAAAAACTCGCGAAACACCCGATGCTCGCAGATTATTCCTCGCAGCGGCAATCATCACGCACCTCACGGCTTTTCCGCACCGTACGAAAGGAAGTCAACCACGTTACCGCGCCATCGACCTAGCGGAGAACAACAGAGCCGCCGCGGCACATCCGCCGTCGTCGGTCCAAACGCGCAGGCTCGTCCCACGCGTCCAATCGGCGATTCCAGCAGGTCATTGGCCATTCAGCGAAGAGTTGCGAAGGGGAGCGCCCAGTTTGACCACTCACGGCTCCCGGTGCCTGGAGTTTTTCCACTGGACCAGCCAATCAAGTATTTTTATCTTAAGGGTCGACAGGAGTCATTTATTACTAAAATCGAAAAATCCGTATTACGGCCAAAATAATGAGAAAATCGCACTTTAACTATGATATTCGTAATCAGCAGCATCGCCTTCAAGCTGCTACAGAGCGATTTTTTGAAAAAATGGTCAAAATAAAATTTTTGAGTTTCTATATATATATAAATTCGAAGCCCCCCCCCCCCCGCCCACACTCCTAGGTTTACTCACACAATGAGGGGGAGCAGGGGGGGCAAAGCCCCCCGCTCACACATGTACTTTGATATATTATATAGGATATATTAGGCTTGTCGCGTTGCTTGAAAACCCCAAACATTTTTGCACTTAAAATGAGATAAATATATATTCGGTCGTTGGAGAGAGAGAAAGCAAAGATGCTGAGTGCAAAAAGTGCAAGCAACGCGAACAGACCCATTGACAAATAGGGATGCAATAATCATTACTATTATATAAAACGCGACTGTTTGTCTGTCCGTCCGTCCGTCCGTCCGTCCGTCCGTCCGTCCGTCCGTCTGTCCGCGAACTACTCATTCGTTAGTGGACCGAATTTTTATCAAGGGTACATGAAACAGGGGTAGAATTTTCCGAGAAGTGCCATGATGTGTATAGTTTATTGCTACCGATTTTCTGGAAACCGATTTTTTTAATTCTTTCAATTTTTCCTGAAATAATTGACCGAATCTCAAAGAATTACGTATGAAACAGGGGTGGAATTTTCCGGAGAGTGCTATAAAGTGTATAATTTTTCGTTACCGATCTTTTTGGAAGCCGGTAATAGAAATTTTTCCAATTTGTCGGGAATTAATTGACCGAATCTGAAAGAATTGTATATGAAGTAGGGGTAGAATTTTACGGCGAGCGCCATAATGTGTACAGTTTTTGTTACCGATCTTTTTGGAAACCGGTTTTTTTAATTTTTCGGGACATAATTGATTAAATCTCAAAGAATTATACATGAAGTAGGGGTAGAATTTCCCGGAGAATGCTATAAAGTGTACTATTTTTTGTTACCGATTTTTTTGGAAACCGGTTCCGAATGATCATATCTCAAAG